GTGGGTGGGAGGGAAGCATTTTCAGAAGCTGTTTTTAGATGCCACTGAGATGCCCACAAGTGCAGCATAATGGCCACAACCTCCTTTTGTCATCTGCCTCCAGCATTTGATATTCTGCCTCTGAAGACAGGAAGTGCCATTTATCAATTGAGTCGGTGCTCATAGCTGTCATTTCTGCCCTACTCCGCCGTGCATTGGTCTAACTCTGCTTGGAAAGTCATCTCAACCAGATGGCCATGGCAGAAGCAGCGAAGTCCATGTGTAAATTGTGGTGGGGAGAGAGGTCTTCTGTTCCTCCTATTAACTGAACTGACTCACAGGTAGGTGCCTTTTGCTGAGTCAGACTATTTGGTTCATCCGGCTCAGCTGGTTAAAGCGTGGTGCTGAAAATGCCAAGGTTGTGGGTTCAATCCCCATATGAGCCAGCCGCATATTCCTGCGTTGCAGAGGATTGGATTAGATGACCCTTGGGATCCCTTCAAACTATAGAATTCTATGATTCTCCCTCCAAAGACTGTCAGCATCCCATTCAACCCATATCCTGGAGAGTCCACATAGTCTCTACATGCAGTTTGATGCTTGGCATATCTGGGTAGGGTTGGGAGAGACTCCCTGCCTGAAATCGTGCTGCCAGCCAGTGTAGCCAACACTGAGTTAGATGACCTGGCACAGTATAAGGCAGATTCCTGTGTTCCAAACTTGTGGATCCCCAGTGGATCCTGGAGAGATGTCAGCTCTGGCCTCCATGAAAGCCCAGCTATTTCCCCCTTACATTTACAAAATGCCACTTTGATATAAAGACTCGAGCCATTAACCGAATCGATCGAGCTAATTTATAACCACAGAATCTCTGCGCCCGTTCCATGAGATGGCAGTAAATTTAAGGTTTGGGGCTTGGCAATCAATAACCAGGAGAGAAGCGGACCAAAGTTTTGCACCACACCCAAAGGAGAATCAAAGACACTGCCATCTTTGGACTGGTGTTAAGGCACAGCTGCCAAGCCAAAAATACATCCCCACCTCACCCCACCAAAAAAGCACAATGTAAGGCAAATTGAGGGGGAATATCTTGTCCCTGTGGGCTGCCTAATCAATCTGACAAAATGAGGTGATGGGATGGACTGGACCAATTCATGCAGCAGGTATGAGAAGCCATTTGGCTGTGCTGAAGCAGAGCGTGATAGAAATTGGAGATCTCAACACAGCACGCCAGGGAAAGAGAAGGTGGGAAGTCCAGTTGCGTCAATGGAAGCCCTTCTGGTCATGTAATTATTTTGCTGGATACTGCCAAGCTTGTTAGCCCACATCTGGCCCATCACAAACTCCAGACAACCATTCACCAAGCTGATGCCCTCCAGATGTTTTGGACTATAACATACCCTCTGACATGTCCCCGATGAAAATGGGGTTGTCCTAAGGACATTCTGAGATCAAATCAAAATCCAGGGCAGCCCCTGGAAAACAGGGACACTTGGAGAGTCTGCTATAATTCCCATCAGCCCCAGCGTCATATACATGATTGCTGACAGGAGTGACCATATAACACCTTTGCTGAATACTTGCTGATTTGCTACCAGGCCAAGTTCAAGCTGTTACTGTTAATGTAAAAGGTAAAGGTAAAGGGACCCCTAACCATTAGGTCCAGTCATGACCGACTCTGGGGTTGTGGCATTCATCTCGCTTTACTAGCCGAGGGAGCCGGTGTACAGCTTCTGGGTCATGTGACTAAGCCACTTCTGGCGAACCAGAGCAGTGCACGGAAATGCCATTTACCTTCCCACCTTCCCACCTATTTATCTGCTTGCACTTTGACGTGCTTTCGAACTGCTAGGTTGGCAGGAGCAGGGACCGAGCAACGGGAGCTCACCCCGCCGCGGCTGCGTTAGTGTACACAACCCTTAATAATTTGGAAGCAGTTTACCTGTGAAATTGCCTTACCCACTCAATCACTTTGACTGGTGGAAGTGGCACTCTTACAGGTGCCACCTATTACTCCTGCAGTTGTAAGAAACTGGCATTTTAGAGCGATAGCACCTACATGTTGGAACTCCCTGCCTATTGACATCAGGCAGGAGGCTTTGCTGCCCTCTGGGGATTCGAACCCGAGTCTCTCCCAGGCCCTAGTATGAATAAGAAGGAAGCCATATTTGGATGGTTCTGGTGTGTATACTGAACAGGTCTGGACATCGCTGCCATCCTTCCCCAGCATGAACCTCATGCCCAGCTGAGAGCAATACCCCAGTTCTGAGAATGATGCTTTGCCAGCCTGCTGGTTCTTCCACTGCTGGCCAGAATCCCAATCAGGCATCTCGGCTCAGCTCCTCTTTGCCAGGAAAGAGCCTGACAAGTCATCTGTACTTGTTAGAACAGTGCCAGGGAGAGACTTTTTTTAATGGCACTTTCCAGGGGAGAGGCGTAATGAATATATTACCCCAGATGCCAGTTTTATTTCCAGTAGTTAACTGAGCCAGGAGTGAATTATGCCCGCCCAAATACCATTCAAAAGCCATAAAATTGCAGGAAATAACCTTTGTGTTGGAGGCTAATTGAACTAATATTAATTGAAACGGGCTTCCTGATGGGAGCCCCCTGCTCCTCCGCAACTGCACTTTGGGGATTTGCCTGACCCAGAAGGAAGCGGCTAACAGGGCAGGGTTAGCAGGGTCAGAGGAGGAGACCAGAGATGGACAAAGAGCTTCCTCTCCCTCTTCTCAGAATGCCCAGCAACTCTGGAGAGCACAGGAAGCATAAGCTTAGCTAATTCACGGCTCAGAAGGAGAGCTACCTTTAGACAGAGAGGCACGGCACAGAGTTAACCTGTGGAACATGCATCCACTGGATATAGTGTTGGCCACTGACTTGGAGGAGTTTGAAACAGGATTGGAGAAATTCATGGAGGGCAAAGGCTATCAGTGGTTACTGGCTGCTAGGGCTTTGTTCCACCTCCACTGTCAGAGGCTTCTGAATACCGGTTGCTGGAAACTGCAGGAGGGAAGAGGGCTCCAGGGCCTGGGTCCTGCTTGAAGGTTTCCCACAGGCATCTGGTTGGCCCCTGTGAGAACAGGATTCTGGGCTGGATGGGCCATTAGCCTGATCCAGCAGGCTCTCCTTAGCTTCTGAATGCTTCTGAATACCAGTTGCTGGAAATGGGATGAAGGGAGAGTGTTCCTGGGCTCAGGTCCCACTGGCAGGCTTCCCATGGGGACATCTGGCTGGGCAGCAAGAGAAAGGGGTGTTAGGTGAGATGGATCATTTGCCTGATCCAGCAAGGAGGCTCATTTTATTTGAGCTAGACAGATGTGAGAGAGAGAGAGAGAGAGAGAGAGAGAGAGAGAGAGAGAGAGATCAAGTGATGAGGCTTTGAAAGTGATACAACAGAAAGCACAGAGGCAACAAGCTCAGATTACCCAACCTAGGAGTGATGTGGATTAATGGGGACTCAGGGGGTAAACCTTAACTGGGAGCAACACCATTTTTAGAGGGGCATGCATTCCTTTGTCTCTCACTGTGATTATTAAAGAACTTATCTGGTAAGAACGCTCCTTTTGTTTGATCTGCTTATTTACTGCCACCGGGGGAGGGATCCGATTCCCCGAAGCCTGGCAACAAGTCATTCAAGGACGCATCTCAGCTGGGAAAATCGTTCAAGGAGCATATTTAGCAAGACCAGTAAAGGATGTGGTTTGGCTAGAAAGGGGGTGTCCTGGGAAGAATCCTGAGACATGGAGAAGTGTGGACAGGCACAATTGGCTCCTGGGCCTGAACTTCCTCCACCTGTCAAATTGTCTTTACCCCATATACATTCACTTGACCACTTCGATCTGAGGAACTGGCACTATTCAATGTGCCACGCAGTTCTCATTCCACATTTGTAAGAATTGTTTCCTGCGGCAGCACCTACACTTTGGAACTCCCTACCTATTGATATCTGGTAGGCATCTTCATTGTGCTCTTTTCGGCACCTGCTAAAAACATGTTTGCTTAGACAAGCCTACCCTGATATGCAGAATTCTGACATGTGTTTTAATCTGTTTTTTGTTTATGACTGATTTAAATTCTTATTCTTATTCTTATTCTTATTCTTATTCTTATTCTTATTAACTGTGTTTAACAGTGTTCACAGATAATCTTATTGTCCTGTTCTTTTTGCAATCTGCTTTGAGGGTTTTGGTTTTCTAAAAAAATAATTGTGGTCACTACAGTGGTACCTCTGGTTACAGACGCTTCAGGTTACAGACTCCACTAACCCAGAAAAAGTACCTCAGGTTAAGAACTTTGCTTCAGGATGAGAACAGAAATCGTGCAGCAGCAGCAGCAGGAGGCCCCATTAGCTAAAGTGGTACCTCAGGTTAAGAACAGTTTCAGGTTAAGAACGGACCTCCAGAACGAATTAAGTTCTTAACCCAAGGTACCACTGTATATTGTATGAAACTGATCTTGAAATAGCAGACAGACAGACAGAACCAGGAGCCAGGCTTAAAACCAAAGTGCTGCATTTAAAATCTTACATCGCAGGCAATTTGCACAGTTTAGGGGAACCTAACCAGGAGCAGGAGAGAGGGAGAGAGGGAGGGAGGGAAAGAAGCCTTTTGTGTCTTTGCTCAGAGAACTTGAAAGGGAGGCCGACAAGCCGATGAAATAATGAACTTTATTTGATTTTATTTTCACATTTTGGACCTGGAAGGGAAAAAAAGAAAAAGCCCAGCGAGACAATGCGGACTTAGAATCAAAGCCAGCTGACCTTCGCTTGATGACCCTGCAGGGGGAAAAATGAGCTCAAAATATAAGATGGAGAGAAAGCAGAACCGTCTCCTGCCTTATTGTATTCGTTTCATATTTCCCAGGGGCATCAGCTGAAGCTGTTAACAAGTGGCTCACAAATGAATCCATTCCCCTTTCATCTTTTTTTTGTCTCTTTGCCTCTCCCTCCAACCTCAGCGTTAATATAGATTTCCCTGCTGCTAGATCCCCTGCTAGCTCCTCTCTGAGTCAGCCTTTCTGCAAGGACTGTGTCATTTATTTCCTCATTTCCTAGCACTTCGCTCTCTCTTTTCCCCCCTTGCTCTTCCACCACAGCTCCCAGGGGCACTACATTTCCTGAATCTGCACACTCATTTCTGAAACACTCTGCTTTCCTTTCCCTTAGCCTAAACTGAATTTCCCCACCGGTTTGTTGGGGGCTCCTTCCTAAAGAAATGAGAATCTGTCCATCGGGGGAAATGGAGCCAGATTCCTGCTAGGCCTTTTCTATTCATCCCCTCCTCGACTCTTGGCTTCCCCCTGTTGGGAGCATAAGACTCAGGACACAGACTGCATTTGCTGGCCACCACCGGTGCCAAGGCAATTCTCGGGAGGACACGGCAATAAAGAGGAAGAAAGGAAAATATCTCATTTGCTCCAGAGTTCCTTCGAAGCCGGGCTCCTGCGCACCTCATTTGGCAAGGTGAGAATCTCCCAAATCCTCATCTGGTCTTTGCTAGCAGCAACGAATAAAAGTGTGGGGCTTTGCTTTAATAGAGTTTCGTGTTTATGGGATGAGATCAGCCAGGAGCTGTGCCAGGGAATAAATAAGTCCCCAAGACACAAAAGCCAGCAGCGAGGAAGAAAAATCTGCTCTGGGTGGGGAAGGAAGGAGGGAGAGGTGATTCTGTGATAACCTGAAAGTTATCTGTTGAGAAGGAGGCCAACTGTGCTTAAGGGGTTCCGGAACCTACATAGGTTTTCGGGGAATAAACGCACAGAGCAATCATTGCAGTGGATTTTCAGAGACATAAAACGGAGCCATCTCCCATTAGTGATGCTAAAACAGGGGTGAAGATTCAGAGGCCTGAGGGCCCTTGAGAAGCTTCCCAGGCTATCCCTTCTCATCAGCCAAACATCCCCCCCCTTCACCCTCTCCTTGAGTGTTTAGTCCTGGCTAGAAAGTGCTTGCCTGGTTGGAGGAGAGAGAGGGGTTTGTGAGTGTAAAATTGTACAAAAGTAAAATCTATATCTAATACTCTACCCCCAGAGGTTTCCAAATGTCAGGGACTGGGCAGAGCAGGAATGGTGGAGACCGCCTCCCTAGCCCAACCCTTCCAGAGAAGAAGGAGACAGTTCAGAATTGCAAGAGGGGTTTGAGGGAGGTCACAGCTCAGAGGCAGTTGAGGGGGAAAGCTGGGAAATAATGGGAGAGGAGGAGGAGGAAGAAGCACCAGAAGGGAGACAGCTGACGGACACAGTGTCTTTAGAAAGCATTCCAGACCCCCTTCTCCCAGAACTCGGCGAACCTTGAAAGTAGTAGAGCAAAGGTCTCAGAAGCAAAGGGCCCTCAGCACCACCCGTAGGGGACAAGGTGACGAATGAGGAAGTGGGAGAAAAGGGGCGGAGAGTCACTCAGGACAATGCCGTTATTCCAAGAAGCTGCATTCTCAAGCCTCTCTCTGTGAATATCGAATAAAAAGCATATGGTAAGGACTTTTCCTTGTCATATCCGTTCCTGGCATAGCGTGGCGTAGCGTGGGGGGTGTAGGGGGGGCCGGCCGCACCGGGCGCAACATCTGGGGTTAGGGCAAATCCACAGGTTAGGGGGCGCAAATCCATGGGTTAGGGGGCGCAAATTACTTGCCTTGCTGTACAACCCACGCTGACAACCCACGCTACGCCACTGCAACCTGCCGTGGGGGTTGGTTCCTCTGCCACCTGACACCAAACTTATTTGATGTACTCCCCCTTTTCGGGGGGGGACACCATTAAGCACCACCCCCACCCCCAGAAATCTACCTTCTTTAAGCGAACAAACCAAAAGATGCAGTGACAAATTTGCATTCTTTTATGTACCTCTATTTCTACCTACATCCTGCAACATGGTAAAGAAAATGTGGTTGTAAATATGACACCTTGGAGCTTGAAATTGTAAAATTATTTATTGAAGTAAACCACAGTCACATTCACATTACATACAGGGTTTACCCAAGCACAGGAAAACAACCTCGCCTCCAGCATGACTGCCAGATCGCGGGAAGACATTGTCGCTGTCCCGCAACGGCACCCGACCTGCTGGTAAGCGTCATTACACAACAGATGAAACATGTATGAATGGTTTTTTGAATTTTTCTCCTCTTCTTTCTTTATGCTTCCACTGCCCCCTTATTTTTATTCAATGCCCCTCAGTTGCACCTGAGGCTACCACTGCCCTCCTGGATAGTTCCAGCGCCTCCCAGGGGGTGGTATTGCTCACTTTGGGAAACACCGCTCTACCCACTCTTTTCCAATGATGGAATGTGGCCCCTGGAATGTTGCTCAGAAGGGAAGGCAGCTACTATATTGAGTTCAAGACATACTCCACTCGACCCTCCTTGGATAATGAGCCCAAAGCTGCAGAGGTTATAAAGTCAAGGCTTATTTAAGCACCACAGACAGCTCTTTCCAGAGGGCAGAGCCTACAGCACAACAGGTCTTACCTGCTCAGACATCTCCAGCTGTCTACTACAGCAACATCTTCCCTGTGTTGTCTAAGAAGGAACCAGCCAGGCCTGATTGAATGGGGAGCTCTCCAAGGTGCTGATCTGATTTCCTGAAACTATGAGTCTGGGGTGGGAAACCTGCGGTCCTCCAGATGTTACTGTACTACAACTCCTCTGATCATTGGCCACACTGACTAGGCTGGAGCCCACCAACATCTGGACAACCACAGGTTCAAGCTATAGTGTGGTGACACCTGACTTGGAATTACCTACTGACCCCTTCTAGCTTCCAGCTGCCCCTAAGGAAAGTGCTGGGCACTTTGTGAAATATTTTATAACTCTGTCCTTTTTTTGGTGTCTATATTTATGCTGCATGGGGGAGGTTTTTGTGGAGTCCCTGAAGCAGCTCAAAGCAGTATGGAACAAAATCAATAAAAAGTTTGAAAACAAATGATTTACTTTAAAAAGATAAAAGGCAGGTACCATAAGAGCAAAAGAGAGAAGAGCCTGCTCCATCTGGCCAATGGCCCATCTAACCCAGCTTCCTGCTGTCACAGTGACCACCCAGATCACTCAGACCTTCAAGCAGGAACCAAGCCGAAGACCCCTCTCCCCTCCTGCAGTTTCCAGCAACTGGTATTTAGAAGCATTACTGTCTTCGACCGTGGAGGCAAAGCATAGCCAGTCTGGCTAGTAGCCATCAATAGCCCTCTCTTCCATGAATTTGTCTATTCCTTATTTGAAAGTCATCTGCGTGGGTGGCTATCTCTACCTCCTGTGGGAGGTAGTTGCCTACCATGGACTACAATGGTACCTCAGATGCTTCAGGTTACAGACGCTTCAGGTTACAGACTCCACTAACCCAGAAATAGTACCTCGGGTTAAGAACTTTGCTTCCGGATAAGAACAGAAATCGCACGGCAGCAGTGGGAGGCCCCATCAGGTTAAGAACAGTTCCAGGTTAAGAACGGACCTCTGGAATGAATTAAGTTCTTAACCTGAGGTACCACTGTTGCGTACTTCCTTTTATCTTGCCCAAATCTTCCTACATTCAGCGCCATTGAAGGTCAAGTGTTACCAGAGAGGGACACAAACATTTATCAATCCACAGGCATCGGGTGGGGTAGCTACATCAGAAGCAAGTAGCCAGGGATCCCCTCTGAAGCTCTGGAAGGGCATCAGATGCAACTACAGTGGTACCTTGGGTTACATACGCTTCAGGATACAGACTCCGCTAACCCAGAAATATTACCTCAGGTTAAGAACTTTGCTTCAGGATGAGAATAGAAATCGTACTCCGGCGGCGTGGCAGCAGGAGGCCCCATTAGCTAAAGTGGTGCTTCAGGTTAAGAACAGTTTCAGGTTAAGAACAGACCTCCGGAACGAATTAAGTGCTTAACCCAAGGTACCACTGTATCTGGGAATTTCATCAAATCCGCCTCCCCATCATTTTATTCCTCTCCTCCTTAAGGAGGAACCTTCATCAAGTCAGCCCTGGTGCCAAGGGAGGCATAAATAGGATCGCTATCTGCCCCTCATTCATAAAAGACTGGAATCCCTGCCTGTTAACAAGTGCTGTGTAATGAAGGGCAAGCAATGGTGACCTCTTGGAGACTAAATGAGGCCCACTTAGCATCCGCATCACTCCCTGGACGTCCATTCAGATTCTCTATTACCAAACTGACTAGGCCTGACACAGGCTCCTCCATTCTGCTTCCTATCCAGGGATCGCGTGAGTAGCTTAAGAGCTGAGTTTACCCTCGGAAAGAGTGTTTGCTTATTATCAACAAAGCGCAGAGCTCGAGGTTGCAAATCCCATTTGGGCCACGGGGGCCATAACAAGGCCCAGTTTAAAAGCAGGCCTTTAAGCAGTTTAAAAGCGAGAGAAAATGTAGCTGTGCAAAGCTGATTGAGACTGGCGTCCCGTTTAAAGTGGATCGCCAGCCAATCCCAGCATCAGCCAAGGGGTTCCTGGGCTGGTGGCAGACCGGGCCTGGTCAGCAGCCAATTCAGTTTAAATGTGGCAGCGGCCACAGGGAGCCTGAACACAAATAAGGCTTTTAGAAAAATGCTCAGAAGTGCCGTTGTTAAATCAAGCCTTCTACAGATGCAGAGGCATAATCAAGCTAGCCATGTTCTCTTCATGCGATGGTGAGGAACCTCCAGCCCAGGGGCCAAATGCAGCCCCCAGGCCTCTCGATCTGGCCCTTGTGATTTCCCCCAGGCCATGCCCCCCACCGGCCCTCCATTCCCAGACCCTCCAAGTGTACCTATTTTCCAGGGACTGTCCTGGATTTACAGAAGCCATCCCAGTTTCTGACATGGTCCTGGAGTGTCCTGTTTTCCCTTAGGATGTCCCTGTTTTCACTGGAGAGAGGTTGGAGGATATGTTGCACCTTACTCCCCCCTTTTTTTGCCTTAAATGTTTTTGCCCCTCTGAAAGTCACCGATCTAGATGGCTTTAAAAGAGGATCTGACAAATGCATGAAGGACTATAGATGGCTCATAGCCAAGGTGGATTTCTCTCTGCCTCCACAGTTGGAGGCAACATTGCCCTGGGGTACCAGCTGCTGAAAACCACAGGAGGGGAGAGGGCTCTTGTGCTCAAATCCTGCTTGCATGTTTCCCACAGGTAGTGGGCATCTGATTGGCCATGGTGAGAACAGGATGCTGGACTAGAGGGTCTCCCTTTGGCCTGATTTAGCAGACTCCTATTGTGTTCTTAGGTGCTGCTGTTCTCCTATTGTGTGTCAGGCTTCGGGGAACCCATTCCCTCCCACAGTGGCAGCCAAGGAGCAGACAAACAAGAAGAGCTCTTACCGAGTCTTTTATTCAGTATTCACAGAGAGAGAGAACATAGAAATGCCGTCTCTCTTAGATAAATGGCGTTGCTCTGTGTAAAGTCCCACCCCCTCCATCTCTCCTATTATACGTCATCCCTGCATCAGCTGATCTGTGTTTTCTGCCTCTGAGCTTTCTGTTCTACTACTCTCAATGCATGCCGGGTCCAGGGAAAGGGGGGTGGGTCAGGAATGCTTTCTAAAGATGCTGAGTCTGTCAGCTGTCTCTCCTCTTTCATAGTGTATGTGCGAGGTTTTTGTGTCAGCGTCATGTTGGTCAGTTCTTCCTCTATTCATTTATTAGCTTTCACTGGCAGTGAGAAAGGTTGAGGGGGCCCAGGGCATGGGTGGCTGCCTTCAGCTGACTGCACTGAGCTTTGTTTATGTGTGTGAGGGGTTGTTGGGTCAAGATAGCCATATTGATTCGTATGCCGTCGGTGGGTTCTCGTTGTTGTCTTGTGAGGCTGTATGTATAATAAAGAGGAGCCACACTGGGGTGAAGGCATCCTCTTTTATTTGTCCCTATCTTAGTTTCTCTGGGACGCAGGTGGCGCTGTGGGTTAAACCACAGAGCCTAGGACTTGCCGATCAGAAGGTCGACGGTTCGAATCCCCATGACGGGGTGAGCTCCCGTTGCTCGGTCCCTGCTCCTGCCAACCTAGCAGTTCGAAAGCACATCAAAGTGCAAGTAGATAAATAGGTACCGCTCCGGCGGGAAGATAAACGGCATTTCCGTGCGCTGCTCTGGTTCGCCAGAAGCGGCTTAGTCATGCTGGCCACATGACCCGGAAGCTGTATGCTGGCTCCCTCGGCCAGTAAAGCGAGATGAACCCCAGAGTTGGCCACGACTGAACCTAATGGTCAGGGGTCCCTTTACCTTTACCTTTATCTTAGTTTCTGTTTATTGCTTAGCTTTTCTAGTAAGGCCATTTCCCATACAGTTTGGTACCAGTGGTCCATGTTCACGCCTGACACATCTTCCCAGTGTCTGGCTATGATGCTACCACTGGGCTCTTCTCGTGTTCTGAACCTACTGTATTTTTCACTCCATAAGACACACTTTTTTCTTCCTAAAAGGTAAGGGGAAATGTCTGTGCGTCTTATGGAGCAAATGTGTGGTCCCTGGAGCCGAATTGCCCAGGGCAAAAAGCTGATCATGCTTTAAAAAAAAAAAAGAGGTTGTTTGCCGATTGGGGAGAGAGATAAGGGATGCTAGAGATAAAGGAGGCTGCCTGGGAGGGGAGAGTTAAAGACAGCAAACTTGCAAAGGGGGGAAACAGGAAGACTAAAGCAATAAAGAGAGAAATTAGAAGAAAAGGAGGAGCAAAAAACTGCTCCAGCTAAGGAAAAGACACTAAGGCAAACAAGACGGAAGGAAGTGTTGAAAGGAAACAGCTGATCGGTGGGATGGAAAGAGAGATAAGGGACGCTAGCAGAGGCTGCCTGGGAGGGGGGAGGTAAAAGCCCATGGATCCTCAGGATTTTTACATTAGGTCACCCCAAATTCACCATCAGATCACATAGCATGTCCATGGCTACAGCCTGCACCAAAAAAATCACGCACCCCCTGTTGCGTGGGGCCGCAATGGTGCAAAAATGCCTGGTGCTGAAAGGGGTTTCAGACTTGCCTCTTTTCATTCCTTCCTCTGCCCCATGGCAAAAATCTCTCACACTGTTCCTTGTTCTTTCCAGATGTTCTTATTTCAAAGCATCCAGGAATCCCAATGCTCCAGATTGTGAAATCTAGGAGCGCCTG